AGACAAGAATGGATTTAAATTTGTTATAATTTGAGTGAAATTAAATTATATTCTATACTGCAAATTAATAGCTAACTTTAAAGAACATTAAAGAACATTGTTTAAATTTAATCAAATATGTTAAAGAGTTATCTATGTATAAATTTTAAATTATAAAATTTTAATCATTTAATATGTTTACATACATATATGTAGAGTAATTTATTTGATAAAATACATGTTTTTAATTTTAATTTTTTTTCTTTTTTTATCGAATCTAATTTGTTCGATTTAATTAGCTTGTTGCGGTTTAATTCACTTGATCAAATTCTTTTGTTTATTTACTTTTTTTTCTTTTTTTGAACTTATAATATAAAATTTTTTTTTGCTTAATTTATATTGCTAATTATTAATTATATTTGTTCAAACACTGAACGTGGTATCCAGATATTGAGCAGAATGGCACAGAGTCATGTTGCAAGAATAATACTGTTTTTGAAAGATAAATTTGGTAATCATTTGCTTTGTAACAATTTAGAGACAATTTGGCATGACTGAAGTGTTAATATGATGGAGTCTAAGACGACATTTCCAGTTATGCCAGTCTCAATGACGATCAGCACCATCCTACCTGAAAAGAATTATTGCAAACATGTGCAGAACAAACTTCTTGGAAAAACAATGGACTTATGAGTGGTGTATCTTCTCAAACTCATTCTAAGGAGTTTTCTTTGGATTAGAGATGTTGCTTGATCAGGTTGATCTGCAGCGTTATTGGACACTTGTATACTTCATGAGATGAAGCTTCACAGGGGATACTAATCTTAGGGAGAATCTTTAAAAACCTGTGAAAACTTCAAGAATTGCTAGAACTATCAAAGCACAAAAACTATCAAAATAACAAGAACTACCAGAATTGTCAGAATTTTCAGAATTCTTTGAACTTGGAACCTTTTCTGAATTTGTAACTTCTTAATCATAATGTAGACTGTCATTGGCATATGGACTTTGCCTTTGATCGTCTTGCTAATCGAATTTGTCAGCGAACTTCAGAATAATTATTTATCTTTTTTTTTAATTATTTTATATACCATAGTTTCTGAAACGAGTCGAAGTTAACAATATTAATATATTATCTAATATATTAGAATTTTTATTTGATTTAATTTCATCGATTCTTTATTAATCTTCTTTATTTCAATGATTTCATACAACATTCAATTTGACTTTTTATGAAACTACATAAATTTCTATAAATTTTCTAATATTAAAATTAAGATTCTATAAATTTTTTCTAAATTATTTAATTTAATTTACGATTATTTTTTCAAAACAATTTTTCTTGATTTATTTCAATACCAATTATATTTAACAAATCAATTTTGCTTGATTTATTATTGAATTCATTCGTATTGAATCGAATAACAAGATGAAATGACATAACGATTAATCATTTGATCGATTATTGACTACAGTTATTGAATTTATTCCGATCCCGCATATTAATAATCGTATCACATACGATCAAATCGAATACAGAGAAGAGAGAAAGAGAGAGAGAGAGAAAGGTGTGATTGAATTATAATAAGTTCATGTTCATATTTATCGCGAGATGTTATGGCAAATATCACTAATCGCTAATGAAATTAATAAAGCAAAGTGACTTCTATCTTATGACTATACATTATTTTTATAAAGATTCAGTTTAATATTATTTCCAATGTTTAGAAATATTAAGATATTGAAATTTAATAAAAATATATTATCATTATAGCAACATAAGCAAATCCAAATAATCAGAATATATAAGTAATGATTTTAAAGTCTTTCGAAATTTAAATATCAAAGTTTAAAAAGAAAATTCTAATTTTTTGTATTTCAAATCAATCATTTTTCGATCGACATGTTGTGATTAGAATTATGAAATATAATGTAATCTGCGCAAAATTAGAAAGAATTGAAATCATTGTATAATTTTAAATTATTTAAGAAATATGAAAATTTTCTAATTTTTTATTTTAGGAAATCAGATTCTTATAATTATTTGTTATAAATGTTTGATATATTCAAGCTGATGTTCATATATCAATTTCTATTTGGTGTTGAAAATGAAAAATATCTTAAGATTATACAGAAGAAATTTCATGTTAAATATTTTAAAAACTAATTTAAAGAAGCATATTGAAATCTAAATCGCGATTTTGCTATCACTGCTATGCGAATCACGTAATTTCGAAAACAATACTTGACTTCGATTGGTTAGAGGGGTTTCTTCGAAAATTTTGACTGATCAGTCATGTAAGTAAAGAATATTAATGTAAGAAACACGGTTCTTAGTATCCAGATAGGGTTGGTTAATCGCTCGTAAATACGCAACCAATGTTTTTCGCTCCTTCGTGTATTCGTAACCCATAAAGTTTGCTTGACTAGAATTTCAACCAGCCACGTCATTTTGAGCTCACATCGTGATCTTATCAACCTATGAATATCGAGGGCTCTAAGAGCTTTACATAGTCCCACGTGTTTGTACTTTTAGAATATTGAATATATTGAAAAATTACCGAAGCGATTCCTTTCTTTATTTATTAAAGAAATTGCGATAAAAATAATGAATAAAAGTTGCAAAAATGCATTATTGTTTGAAAATATGAATAAAATAATTTGTTACTTTAAATGCTGTGATATTTTGTATTCTTGTAACTAATATCGAACAGATATTCAAAACATCATATACACATGTATTCTTTATAAGTTTTTAAGTTAGTTATTAATTTTTAAAGTTTACGTGTTATATTTTGAGGAAATAATTCAATTGGATTTTGTACATCATAATAACATATATTTAAAATATACAATAAAAAATATTCCATTTAAAAATATAAACGTGATCTTCACAAGGCTTTTATTATCTGCAATTTTATCTCAAGTTCAAACAATTATCATCGACGACATTTCCTCTATATACAATTTTCATCTAAAATATTTTTTTCATTTCTAATATTTATTGGAATAATCACATGTAAATATTTAAAATCTAGGATATATTAAATGATGTGAACTATAGAAACTAATTAGTACATACTATATATAACAAAAAAGTTAAATAAATTATAAGAGACAGACTATGTTTTCTAAATAATTATTATTAAATATTTCTGTAATTAATATTCTTAACAATTTTTGTGACATAAAAAATGAAATATTTATTGACAACTTTTTAATTTTTTTATGATAAAATGGAATATACAAAAAGTAAATTAAATAATCAAATAATTTGATAGAAAATAGTCGACAACTATGCTAAAAGATATCGAGAAATTAATAAATAAATAAAGAATTGATCAATTTTTTTCCTATTTCTGTAAAACCAATTAAATGCATTATTTAATTAAAATTAAAAATAAATTTGAAAACTACTTAACTATATTCCCAATAAATCTTAAAAATTTTTGTAAATATCATTTATAACGATATTGAAATTATTTTTAAAATAAATATAATTTCGATAAATATTATGCGAAGTATTATTTATAACTTCAAGATCAATTTGTTATTCAACGGAACACGATAAATGGGGTATCGATATTTTTCAATGCATATCTAACAAATAAACGAATCTTTAGTCAAAACGAACGCTATACCCGTGATTCGATCTTAGCTCCGATCTTGGGCCATAGAAAGTTCTTCCTGATACGTTCACTGTCTAGAAGGATGAGAAGTAGGTGTTGGTAGACGACAGTGAGCCGTGAACGTGGGCCGTGATCCAGGGTCTCCACCAGTACTAGTCTTACTGGGAAACGCTGTTATCCTGCCCTCGAGGCCCAAGGTGTACCGCAAGGACACGAAAGTGGCAGTTTTTGTCGTCGTCGTTCTATCGTTCAGCCTGGCGCACGAGCTAAAAGCTTCTTTTCTCGCGTCGAGTTAGCGGAGACTCCGAACTCGCTATATTATTGCATCGATAAATACGCCTACATCTTTGTCTTGGAAGAACTGTGCAAGCGCCATTTTAGCCTTCGATCGAAATTAAGAAAGAACGATTCAGGAGGAGAAAAAAATTTTCGAAGATCTTAGTATACGTTCGATACACAGTATGAATGATGTTTCAAAATAAATTTCATAAACATATATTTACATTTGGACATTTTTAATGAGAAATTCTCGTCATTCTTGAATTTTGAAAAGATGTATGTATCTTCACTTTCGAGATGCTTGAAATATTTGATTATTCTTATGTGTAAGAAAATATATATTAATATATTGTAATTTGTTTGAAAATGTTAAATTGAAAACAATAAATATTCTTTGTTTATGTTAAAAATTATACGTAACAATTACAGAAATTATTCAATGCTTAAATGAAATATTTTTTGATTATTTCGTAATTAATAAATGGAATAAATTCATCAAAAATCGGATTTAGATTCGAATTACAACTAAAATCGAAATCTAGTTCAACTTCGACCAAACTATAATTCAATTCCATTCAATTCAAATTCAATTCTAACTTAAATTTTAACCCAATTCAAATTGAATTTCTAAGCTTCGTCTAAACTTTATTCTAATAAAACTCTAATTTTAAATCTAATTCTAATTCTACTCTAGCTCTTTTTTTTCTTTTTTTTTTTATTATTTTATTTTTAGATAGAAGAAATCTTCATAGATATTTCACACTTCGTATAGAAATTGTCAGATTCTTGTAAATTAAAATCTTTACAATGATCTTCATTGGAAAATATCATTCAAGACGAATGTTTTAAAAATTTAATTCCAATTAAAAACAATTATCAAAAAGATACTTCTCAAAGTGATATTTCAAAATTATTAACAATATTCTTATTACTACACTTTTAAATAATCTCTCTTTAATTTATTGTCCTATCACCTATGCAAACTGATTTACAAATAAGCATTATATCTCATTCCTATAAAGAGAATAAACAATATAGACAAACAGTATAGACAAAATAATATAATCTCCTTCGTTTCAACTAACTTTATATTTGCCTATCCCTTGTATTCAGGCCGCGATCAGATGTCTGGTATATCACACTGCCTATATATGCACGCATGCGATATAGAAGTGGCGCAGAAGTGATGCATGGATGCGAGTCAGTGTCTCCAGTATTCTTAAAGAGTGCTATTTATACTCCTGACTGCACAAGCTAAAAGAACGGCTAAAGGAGCGGGTTCCTCAATAAGGCAGCAGGTAGGCTGTACAGTGATTCAGAGGCAATTTTTCCAGTTGCTCCAGACAGTGGCTCGATTCTCTGTCTGCATGTGCAGTGCTCGCTTCCATCCGCCACCGTCGATTTCTGTCTCTTCCTTCTTCTTCTTTTCCATTTCTTTGTCATTCTCTTCTTCTATGCTCTTGATCTTCCCTTGTATTGCCTCTTTTTTTTCGCGTATCCTTCATGCCACTAATTTCGAATCATAGATCTTGTTGTCACTTTGATCTCTCGTGATTGCCTGGTAACTTGGCTGGCAGTTTAACCTTTAAAGGAGAACCAGGGCAAGACTCTCACATGGCTATATGAATACAGGATGTTGATGTATATGTGTAATCTTTAAAATTTAAAATTGATTTTAGAGGCCAAAATAAACATAATGAATAATGTAAGTTAAATTGCTTGTAACTTAATAAATAAGTTGACATTATGTCACTTTTTGTATTTGTTTTGCTCTAGAATCGATATATATATATGTTTTATTTGGATATAAGTCGAGATTAAGGATTTATTAATGCGTAGCTTATTCAAGAATGAATTCTATTTAAAGATTATTATGGAATTATTAATGGATAATTGGAGATTTAATATAATGGTTGAAGATTGGTAAATTAGAATTGGAATTTTCTTAAAAAATACTTTTTATTTTGAAAAATATCAAATTTATAATTCCTTGTATGAAATGATGTTTTCGTATAAGATATGTTTATTCTTTCATGAGTAATAAAGATAAGTTATTAATGTTGCCTTTTCATATAATAGAATAAAAAATAAATTTAAAAATATATATGAAATTGTAAATGAAATTTTTTTCAGTTTTTTCAGATATTTATATTTGATTTTGAATAATGAATAATAAATCAATATTATTTTCTCAATCTTTTTGACATTTGCTTTATTTTGTATTATATAATAAAAAAAATTATACAATATTTTGTAATTTTAAAAATAATTTTTATTTCTTAAATATATTTTATATTAGTATTACAAATTTTGTATCATTATTTAAAATAATTAAATATTTATGAAATAAATAATCTAAAAAATATATTTTTGAAAAAAATTTATAATTTTCAAGTAAATTTGTTATTTTACTAAAAATATTAATTTATCTTTTCTTTACAATGACAAATAAATAATATGATTGTGCAAAGTAAAAATAAAAAATATACAAATTTACAAATTTTTTATTTTCTTTTTTCGAGAATTTTTTTAAGAATTTTCTTTTCTCAAAAAATCCAATATAATGATTACATATATTGATCATTTAATTGTTTAATCCTGTTATCCTCTATATGATTCGAAATAAAATTTCTTTTGTATATATATATATATATAGTATAATGAGGAAGTGCTTGAATTATATTTACACAACTATCTTATTATATTTTATTAAACATCAAATTCGGATTAAAATCATTTATTTTTCAATTTCAATTTTAAATTTGAATTAAATTTTAATTTCAATTTTAATTTAGGATTAAAAAAAAAGCAAAAATGACAATTAAAAAAAAACAATTTTTAAACTCCTTTAATAAAATATTTAAATGACAGATGTAAATGTTGTATTGAATTTTTCAAAAAATAACTTTAAAGAAAAATAAAAAATTTGCGAATCTTACGAGATCTGAAAATAATAAAATAACTATTGTAAAAATGTAAAAAATGAAAAAAACTTTCTTTTTATGAAAAGTATATATTATATATTTCAAAATTCTCAAAGTTCTCTTGAAAAATTATATCACAAAGGTGTGAAAATTTTCTTCAGTTCTAATAACATAATTGAAATGCTTTTATTGAAGCTATTTTTGATTTCATTTTGAATACTAGATAAAAAAAATTCAAAAATTAAATTTTAGTCATTTTCAGCTATATTTATATATGTAATAATGTAATTGCAATAATAACGTAAAAAAAAACTTATAACAAGTTTTAAAGAGTCATTCTTAAGGAGAGATTTCAATCTTCAAATTTGTTGTGAATTTAGTCAGGAAAAAAATTTTTCAATGTTTTCAAACCAGTGAATTTTTTAAATTTTTGAGAAAAAAATATCATATTTTTCTATTTGATATATAATGTAAAAACAACTTTGAAAAAGATGATCTCAAAACTATGAAAATAAAAGTTTCACGCTTTAAAATGAATTCAGATTGATTGTTACATGATTTTTTTTTTTACAAAGTTATAACAATTTAAAATATGAACAATTTTTTATGGAATATTGGTTTACATATACTATTTATTATATTTGCTAAGTTAAGTGTATTAATCAATTATGTGTATTGTATTTATCAATTATTTGATAGTTTGATCACTAATATGTATGATAAATTTTTCGAAAAACATACACATAACGTGCAAAATATCTAAATTAAAAAATACATTTTTAGAATTATTTAATGATAAAATACATCTTTGATAAAATAAATCTTGTTTTTTTTCTTTATCTTTAAATATTATTTTATTTCAGCTTCAATAAAAGTATACATTTACATAAATATTCACAGTTTAATTATTATAATAATTATTTACAAAAAAGTACATACAATCTCACCGATTTAGTGATCTTTAAATATGTTATAGATAATATGATGTAAATATATGAATATTTTTCGAGATATTCGCAAAAATATATTTGATATTAAATATTATACATATATAATATTTATACATTACAGTGTTAATATATTTGCATTACTTATCTATTATAGAATTACATTGCAGAATAGATTACTAATTACTATATTACTATTAAACATATATAATGGATAAATAGTTATTTTCTTCATGAATTTTGATGATCTTAAAATATAATATATTAATTGTACCGAAAGAAATGTTACAAGACATTTGGAGAAAATAATCATATTAATATATCCATACAAAATTTTAGCATTAAATATTTCGGATAAAAAAAATCGAATCAAGATTAAAATCATAGAAATATAATCATAATATACAATATCAAATATATTTTTGCGAAGCTAAGATTGAATAATGATTACACATATAGAAAAAAGTTATTCAATGTTGCAACAACATATTTTCAAATTATATTATACAATAATATAATAAAAGTAAGATATACCCTTTTGTGAATGAATTATTAACAAAATAATATTTATCAAAAAGAAAGGAAAAAAAAACGAAATTATTCAAATCATTTGAATTATAGTTGGTTCGTACAACAGCCAAAAAAGTCAATCTCAGATTCTATTAACGTGTCTACCGTGTTCTAATCGGATAACGAGTTAGACAACATTCTCTAAAATCAGGCGTAGTTTATACTAAAAGATTTTGCATTCTCACAAATAAAACGGGGCTGAATATAAGTGTTATCAACCACGAGGATTTCGCTCGGTACCGTTATCTCATTAGGCGAATTACCGAAGAGACTCAAATGTTTATCAGTGACCCGATCGAGCTAATGATAGTTCCATATTGACGGCTGCTTGGCAAACCGAGAACACTTGGAGCCGATGTGGGCGTTGGGGCACCTCAATTAACATTGGAATGGCATTGCCGTCGATTTCACGTGGGCGTTCGGTATCCGAGACACGTATCCTTTCCTTACGTTTCACTGTCGCCGCTGGTGCAAGTGGCTGCCTGATTTGTCCTCGTGGTTTCGTTCCGAGTTCCTATGCTTCTATTCAATCCCGGCGTGGTTTGTTTCGCGCGCTTGACATTTTGCAATTCTTGTCACACAAACACACGAGATGATTAGATAAGAATTATTAAAATAGATGTTTTAACCAAATAATTAATCTAATCAGATACTTATTCCATTTGTTTATTTCAAATAATATATTTAAAACATAAGTTATTATTTTAAGATTTATTATTTTGATACTTTGTTATTTAATTTCACTAAAAGAATATAATTTTTTCAAATAAAATAGAAAGAAATAAAATTTGCTATATTTTCATAAATGTTTGAATCCATATATTTATTTTGTATCTTATATAAACTTTGTATAACAAAATTTAATGAGACGTAATTTTTGTTCGCTAGTCATAATCTTTCGTGTAATGTCTTTTTTTTGTGTCGAAGTATTAAAAATTATACCTGCTTGTATAAATCTATAATAAATTCTTTTTCTTCTCTGTTATTAATATTTGCATAATATAGAATGATTTAGAATTTATTGGATTTGATAAATTTTGCTTATATTTATGCTTTTCGAATTTGTGTTCAGTTCAGAATTCGTCCAGTTTATAATTGCAAATGAATATATTAAGTTTATTATTATTATTATTAATTAATTAATTGATAATTACTAATTAATTAATTAATTAATAATAATAATAATAATAATAATTAAGCACTTGCTAAATAACAATAATAACAATAATTAAAATAAATAATTTTAAAATAATTTTTTTTTGGCAAACAAGATTTAAAAATTTATTTACAGATATATTTTAATTAATAAATAATTGCTCAAGAAAAAGAGAATTAATAAAAATAATTTTTATTTATTTTTATTATTTTTTTTTATTTCCGTTCTTATAATAAATATATATTAAATATCTATTGAATCATTCTATAAATCTATTCTATAATCAACTTATACAATTATTTTAATAGCATTTATATTATTAAAATAATAAATACATAATTAAGACTAATATACATTTTTTATTTTCTATCAACTCAAAGGAAAAATAAAAAAAATTTCATTCATGTAAATGCAACATTCAATCTTCGTTTACATTTCGTCTTATCTGTCACGTATCTCTTGTCTGCATAATGCGAATAAAGTAAAAATATTTAATAAGTAGATACACTATTCTCCGTTGTCAACTTCAAACAAGTGTTGATACCGGTTACGAGACGAATAATTGTAGGTTTTCAAGTCGATGAAGAAAGAAGCTGTTCGTATTTGTACTTCTTCATTAACAACGTTTGAAAAATAATCGTTCAATTGCATTTCACATAATTTAACCTTAAATTTCTTTCGTCTTTCGTTAAATCACAATA